GCCACGTAATTAATGGCACCTTCGCTAACAAACGCGATTCTGTGGGAACATTCCTATCTTTCGAATATGCCATGCTTTATTTTTCGTTAATTTCAATGGGCCAGGTGGAGCTGCATCTCTAACCAGCTCTGCATAGTTTATGGGACCCACATACTTTACGTTTATAGAATAGAACAAATAATTAACTTGAGTTTAGATCTCTTCTTGGAGATCGATTTCATCAAAGTATTGCCATGGAAAAGTATAAATCAAGATTCTTTATCATGTCGGTATATACAGGGTTGCTCATTAATGCGTCAAAGTGTGATATGTCAGTAAATATGAATATAAAATAATGTCAGTAAATATATACTTTCTACGAAAGTTTTTGACGTTTAAAAGGTGCACACTTTAAAGTTACTTTTCAATATACGGGGTGCGTCATAAACGTGTGGTGGTTACCAACTATGGTTTTTTGTAAATAGAACCCTCCCCCTGTTTTTGCGCTTTTCGGATTTATCGTCAAATTTGAATGTAAGTTAATTTCAAACGTTTTACCTGAAAAATTTACAGTTTTTTTTTATTTTGAATAGAAATTGGCCTGTACCTTAATCGCCACGAATTTTGAAATCGCCCTTTGTTCCAAGAGGACTAAACAAGCTACGTACTGACATCTGTTAATTTACGAAAAGTTTCCAATAAACCGCCCAATGAGCATCCAAAATTGCATGTTTGTTAATCTCAATAACTTGGTTACTTCAAATAGATCCCCAATTTTTTTTTTAATCTTTCGATTTACCGCCAAATGTTAAAGCTACTTGAGGTGTGTTAACCTCAAAACCTACCGTTTCAACAATCAAGTGAACTGGGCACATGTCGACCATCAAAAAATGAATTAAATAAAAAACTTAATATTATAAATGTATTATTAAATGTAAATAATTAAATTAACCGTTATTTTTAAGCAAATGCTGTGGCCCAACTATAAAGTCCCCCATAATACCACCCCAAATATTTAGTCACTAATTTTGGCTTTTCGGTTGCGTAATGGTGAAGATTATGACGGTTTGGGCTACCATTCTGAGTGAAAGTTGACTCGTCAGAAAATAATACATTTTGGAAAAAGTTGGCATTGGCAAAAGGTTCTCCTAATCTCCAAATCAGAATGATATAATGTAATCATGATCCTTATTAAAATTATAAATATAAATATCTTGGATACTGTCGCGGGACTGGTAGAGATTTAGAAATTTGACAAAGAAAGATATGACTATACTGGCTAAATTACTTGATGAAGATAACGAAGCCACCAAGAAGAAACAGAAAGCAGTATGGGTGAAAAAAATGTTGCAAAAACGTACAACTGAAGGAGAATACCATACTTTATATTGTTAGATTCAGTTTGAAATATTCAAATTTAGCACCTCTTTGATAGAGGAACGGCTCCCGAATGTACGTAAGGCGGTTTAGCGCCGGTCGCTCACGCAGACGCCCAAAAAGACACAAAATGCACGAGAATAGCGTCAGAAGACCCAAAAATATTTTTTCTAATAATATAAAGAATGGGGAGACGACGAAAGAAAAATTTACCAATATTTTAGAATGTCGAAGTTTCAGTTTTCTTATTTGCTAGATAATAGTACGCGTAACGGACAGGCACAGACACGAAAAAGCATATGATCACAGTCATATATAGCAAAATGTCGAACGGCATTATCGTTGCCTGAACATGTCGTTGTCGGTTAATGTACGCATCAGCATTTATTTATCTAATAAGAATGTTTCCTTGATATGATATTATTTCATATTGCGTGGTTGCAAGCTTAAGCTTGTCTTATCAACGATTTAAAAACTCCAATTTTTGATGACATAATTATTATAAAACACGGTTTTAACCAAGTTAAAAACTATTCTTTTTCCATTGACTATTATTTTTTCATTGTTGATAAATTAAACATTCGCATTAGTATTGCTTGATGTAAGTGAAACAATTTTATTCTTCTCTGTGAAAACCCAATTAACTTTTTACGAAAAGTGAGTGAAAACTGCAGAATGTAAACAATTAATTCGAGAAAATAAATCATTTTTTCAGTTTACCTATCAATTCGCCTCAATTATACAGAGCTTCGAGTTAACTGTGAACGTTAAAATGTGTTACTTTTGTGGTGGTAAACCTGCAGTCAAATAATGAAGAAAATAGAAGCAAGCAGAATATAGAAGCGATGGTGGTGGAAACCTAAGCTGTGTGAACCGTTGTTCGCCCTCGCAATATTGTCTAGCCATGTTCGGTACCCGATAACACAGAAATAAAAAATGTATCGTTAAATTGAAACGATAACTTGGAAAAACTTGCAGAAACTGCCGATATTCGCCAAGAGGTCAAATTTTTACATTCTTCCGCACTCGTAACCATTTGATGAAAGACATACGCTATTAACATCAAATTTCCTTCTCGCTCCGTGAAGAAGTAACGACGGAATACAAAAAGAACGACAATTATTGCGTCACTGCCAAAAAGCTTGGGACAGGCCTTACCCAACATGAAAATAATAATACCTGAATTATTGACCAAATATTTGCGAAAAGACGCACCCAACTAAGCTACGACTTGTTATTTTGATCCACTGACGTGTGCTCAAGCTCATTTTGGCATAAAACAGAATAGGCGTCCTAATGGTTTATGCTAAATTAAAAGTCGTGTTTGAAAGCATTTCTTTTAATTGGAAAAAACTCGATTGAAAATAAACAAGCCGATAGACATGGTGCAGGTTGCTTTTTGCAACTATGCTAATGATCTTCCAAGGAGAGTTAATCCATCCATTCGTTTTATGCAATCGCAGTTGATATTATAATCACGGCTAATGCAAACCGTAGCTGTGGCTGAGATAAATTAATTTTGTTATACGGCAAGACAATGATTGATAAGTGTTTAAGACAGTGTTAAACAGACGTTAGAACATTCTTTAAACGGCCGGAGGAATTTTGTTTATTTTGCGTTTGGGCTAATTGCGGACGTTCGAGAAGAGTTAAATTTACTGAATGCTGGTTTTGGCGCTATAGTTGAATATGTAATTGTTCCGCCCATACAAGTTAAATTTTTAAACCCTAGGCAGAATACTGGTTTAATTATTCAGGAAACGAAACGGGAAATTGGGGATGGTTTAAAAATAGATGAACCTCCCATACAAATAGTTACGCTAGCAAATACATAGATAACAATGCATTAAACCCGGTTGAATTGATCTGCTTAGCCAGACCAGACCTGAAAATTATGTATGCACATTAAATATTTTACCTCGAATTTTCAACAACTCCCAACCTTAATCCTGTTTGCTTTAAACAACGCAATTACGTTCAGGCTATGCTGTCGACTGTTGTAAATATCGTTTTATTGGGAATAAATAAGAAAAGTTGTAGTTCACATATTTTTTGCTCAACTTGTAAATATTTTGTAAAGTTCAAAGCGCTTGAAAACGTCATTTGTTTTTCAACGAGTAGTTGCGGTTCATTTAAACACTTTAAAAATACGTACAAACAATGCTTTGTTCTTATTTAGAAGACCTTAAAAATGTAAGATCGTAACAGAAATTTAGTATCGAATTTAAATTGCTATTTAATATTAATTTATTAGCATTTTCCAGTTGAAATATGGATATTTGCGCACATTCTTCATGAAATTTAACGGCGGCATTGCTTTTGGTGAGAATGACTAATAATCAATTTCAGCACAATTAAAACTATTTGTTTTTCGTGTAAAGCCAGGTTGTACAACGGAAGATTACGCATGGGTTCAATTGAGCTCAGCCTGAACCTGAACTTAAGTTCAAGTTGAGCTGAAATCCCGCAGATTCAATTGGGGCGTTTGAGTTGAACATCGCCAGATCGTCGGTCAGTTCAGATCAGCCCTAGCTTAGGCTCAGATCGAGATCAGTAAAACCCAAGCTAAAGATTCATTGCTACAATATAGAAATGTTAATTCCCTATTTCGAATTTATATTTTATTAATTCCTCAATATCCGGTAAAGAAAGGAAAATGTCTTTGTTATTGTGGATGTGAAAGAAAGATGCGCCTGATCTGTCTCCTGCCTCTTTCCGTACATGCAATTATTTAGAGATAAAGCTAATTCGTTTAGAATTTACCGTCGAAATCCAAATTCTTTATGAAACAATGCGCTGGCCTCTTAGTGTTCACTTAGTTACCACTATACTCTTCGATAAGCACCGGTTGGTCCGAGCAATACATTTTTCTGAGGTCCCCAGTACTTTCGGATACGGATATCTTTTGAACATTGTCCTCAACACCCGATCATACCGCGACTATTTATTTAATAGCTCTTTTATGTAAATATTTCGAACGATAACATATCCGAGGGCCAAAAGCATCATATTGCCAAAAAATTACTTCAAATAAAGCCAGGGACACTTTAGAGTATTTTTTTTGGTACTTTTAATGCGCTGTTGGTTCTCGTCATGTACGAATTTAGATTTGGAGCAAAATGGTACACAGAAGAAGTAGAAGGTGATTAAACTGGTAAGTATTTTATTGAATAACCGAGCAAGTGTGGAGGTGTTGGATTTGGTAATGTGGCTGCTGCAAAAATTGGGCTATTTGAACAATGTCGAAAAACAAGCTAACGTGATAAATTGTGTACGGACATAATGGCATTATAAAAATCGATGACAATTAACGCGTGCGCTCGGCACAACGGTTGATGTGGCGAGCGCCATTTCCAGGCGTAATCTCATTTGGAGCGTTGCCGGGGGACGAAATCTAATTAGCGCGGAAAGCTGATCGGTAATTACTGCGATTAATCAATCCATTCCTATTCCGGTAACAATTCTTTCTACGTCACTGTTTTCGGTTCGAAGCTGCCGGTTTTTATGTTTCACACATTTGGAAATGGGATCAGCCGCGAATGGCTCAATGCGCCTGGTTAATCGCTAAATCCCTCCCATCTGGATCCATGCACTTTTACTATTATGTCCGCATATAAATAATCAAATCAAATCTAATCACTTACCAATTATTAACTTGTAGTATCGTAAGCCCCGTATCCTGAGCTAGTTGCTTTTTCTGGTCCTCCGAAGGATAAGGATGCTGAAACAAACAAAGATTGCATTAGTTTGCGGTTGAACTTTTCCAGTTTAGTTTTACTTTATTTAACTATTTTAGAATATTTCTGTTGTTTTTAATGCTGACAAGAAAACACTGAATAACAACGAATTTGAATTATTAGATATTAAGGAATTAGGAAAGTAGTCCTATTAGTGAAGATAGAGCCAAAATATAACAAGTAAGGGACTAAAGAAAAAGATCGAGTCGTGTAGGACACCCGAAATTTAGTAACACGTTGAATATCGGAATAAAAACGATTCTATAGTTATTTATATCAGTGTTAATAGAGCAATTTTAAGGCCCGCTTGCGAATTTGCATGAGTGCCTTAAAAACAGTTTTAAAAGCGCGTACCGTACATCATAATAAACATATAAAGACAATATATTGCTGGTGCCTATTTCTTTAAAGTTGTTTGCAGGTCTGAAAATCTTCGTTTCACATT